AGTTCAGTTATTTCATTCCGTGCTTGCCATGCAGCAAGACTGAGGCTTTCTGAGCCTAGCCTCCAGCCACACCACGGCATTTCTCAGATGCCTCGAGCATGGCTGCCAAGATGCCAATGGCAAAGCCATCAGCGTGCCCAGAACGGATCCAGTTTGGGAAGCCATCCAAAAGGGCTGGAAGTGGCACGTTGTTGCCTCCTCGGTGGAGGAAGCCATGCCAAGCTTGCCACAGTTCTTCCAGGTCGGTGCCAACAGTGGCAACGCCATTGGCAGGGCCACCAGCGAGCTGGAGGCAGCCTGCCAGATCGCAGCCCAACTCCAGCTGGGATCCACTTTGGAGGCCGCCATCAAGCAGGTGGCAAGCGGGGAGGTGGCCTGCAGAGCCAGTTTGGCCAGTATAGGCCATTATGTGTCGAGGTATGGCGGGGGCCCAGGGGCGCCGCTGCTCCGATTCCTCTCCCAATTCGGGTCCATGTTCGGTGCGACACTCATGTTAGGCACAGACTTTACCGACACTCTTGCCAACATGACTTTTCCAGAGGCGACCAACCTCTTTCCGCTGACCCGCACGGCCGTCTGGGCGAGCCAATTGACTTCCCAGAAAAGCAATGATGGGTTTGCAAGGTTGTTGGTGAGGTCGGACTTGCAAAAACTTTCCACGCCATCCATCCTGGACCAAGTGAAGGCCGGGGAGTCCATGCTGGCGGACTGCTGGCACCTTATCCAGTCCCAGCTGCCCGCCGCCACTGCTGAGAACCACAAGAAGACCCTCCATCTGTACAGGTGCTTTGGCAAGCTCTGTGTGAGGACCATCCTCTTCATCGTGAAGAAGCAGAAGCATGCCCCAGACCAGGTGTGCTTCGACACCTTGCCAGAGATCCTGGACAAGTTCACACAGGAGGTGTCGGGTGTGCCCACTCCAAGCCAGGCGGCCTCCAGTCAGGCAGGCCAGGTTGAGGATGCGGTGAAGGCCCAGCCGTACCAGGCCATGCTGCTGCAGAACAGCCACATCAAGGTGGGCGAGCTGTGTCTTAGTTGCAAGTCTTCTGCTTGTGCATTCCGCTTGGTGTTTTAAATCTTGTTGCCATTTGGGAGCCAAGGTTCTGCCTTCCCAAAGAGCATGGGTCCAAGGTCTTCGAGCTCTTGGAGGTGACCAACGACGGGGCCACCATGCAGCATCGTCCCATTCTGTTGCCAGTACAGAATGTGCAAGTTGCCTTGGGCGACTTGAAGAAGTGGAGGGTGTCCAAGCAGCGGATGCCTTTCCTGGCAGAAGAGGCCATGGTGGCCAAGGCTTTCCCCACAGAGCATGCCATGGCTGTGGAAGAGTTCCAGAAAGCCCAAGTGGTCTGTGCCTTGCACGAAGCTTACCAGAAGCACTCCTGCCAGGACCAGGAGCTGCTCGGCTTCGCTTGCAGCCCCCAGGCACTGTTTGCCAGGCAGACCCTCCAGCCTAAGAAGCTCAAGCTGCTTCCCATAGGCCCTGTCTCCAAGGTCAAAGAGCCGGGGAAGGCCAGGTTGGTCGTCCATGCGTTCGGAGAGAAATGGTCCATTGGCAGCTGGAAACAAGATGTGGACCAGCATGGGGTGGCGGTCCCGTGGTTCTGGTGCAAGCCAGTAGATGCTCCACTTGCCAACATGCAGTGGACCACTGTGAAGCAGGGACCAGCCACCATTCCCATGCTTCAGAACCACGTCCGCATTCCAGGCAAAAGCATGATTTTGTGCGAGAACCAGCTCGAGGAGCCAGCAGAATCGGCCAAGAAGAAAGCCAAGACCAAGTGAGTGGTGCATTTCCAGAGCAGCCACTGCAGCCAGAGCATTGAGGGCCACTGAGCCGGAGCCATCTTTGCACGGGAGCTGCAAGAGGAGTTTTGATGGCTCAAGTTTTGCCAGGCAGGAAAAACTGGAGCTCTGCAGGGTTGCACTCCAGGATTTGGGTTAAGGACCCACATGCAGCTGCCTGCAGCTCAATGGCTATGCCACATTGTCGGACTCCTGCCATGTTTCTCTCGTCTTTGTAGCATGCCACGGCGCCCGACAACCTGCAGTTTTTCAGCCCAAGCCAGTTGGCAAGACACTCCAAGCCACTTGGCCAGCAACTTCCAAGCCACTGCCATGGCCAACCAGCAGGACGTTGTTTTGCTTCTTTCTGTATACTTATGCATTACAAATCTGCATGTCTTTGCCAGGAGCAGACCCCAGCCATGGAGGAGGTGGCCGTGACGGGTGCCACAGAGGCCACAGAGGTCCAGGCCACAGTCCAGGGGGAGGTGAGCACTACGGCTCTGCCTGCCCAAGTGGGTGGGATCGTGGGCCCCATCTCCTTCCACTTGAGCAACCAGTTCATGTAATCCAGACTTCAGCCTCCCTGACCCGCTCTACCACTGGGCCATTCGCTGCATGTTCTGCACCCCGGCTTCCTGCCAACTTCAGGATGGGCCACATGGATGAGTTCCATGCCGGCGGCTTTGTTTATCCCAAGAGGCTTGCCAGGGAACGTGATCCAGCCCGAAAAGACTTTCATCCAGAATGTTATGTTGCCCTTGTCTCGGAGACTACCAAAGGTGACCCTACAGAAAGGTGACCTTTGCAGGGCCTGTGCCTGTGCCATGTTGTATGGTATGTAATGAATATGTTTGGAAGAATGTGTGTGTGTGTGTGTGCAAAACTTCAAATTTAGATGTTTTGCTACAAGTAGTGCCAACAAATCAAAAATAGTTTTGAACCAAGAACTGCCAGCCAAACAACATTTTGCTCCAAGTGGTGCCCACAATTAACATATTTTGAGCCAAGAACAAGCCTTTAGGAGTCTGGGGGTTGGGAGTTTGGGGTAATAACCGAACCTGCCGCCGGCCGAACCTGGAGCTGAAGCGTCGTCTGGTCCTGCCGGACGGGGGGGGAGGGATAGGGAGGGGCTTAGGACTTAGGTTATAGGACTTAGGGCGTGGGACTTAGGAATTAAGGTAAATTTAGGGTTCGGGGTTTAGAGTGCAGGGGTTCCAGACCCTGAACTCATAAACCCTAAATTCCTCGGTGTGGGGCTTGACTCAGGGTTTAGGGTTTAGGGGTAGGGATCATGGCGTTGTTGGGCTTCTAGGGTTGAAGGCTATAGGGTTTAGGCTCCAGAAGCGAGACCTTAGACTTCTAAGCCCAAAGCCTAAATTCCTCGAAGCCTAAACCCAAAATTCCTCGACCGCCCTGAACTTGAACGCCCTCAACCCCTCAGCCCGAATACGATCCTTTTCTACCCAGTAAGTGAACAATATAATTCCCCAAGGGCCTACCTGGTACCTAGAAGCTCATTGGCTAAGGTCTTGGTGAAACCCACCGCCATGGGTCGCATCGCCCCAGCTGACAACGGATCCATCTCGCAGGATGGCAGCAAAAGCCATGTGAGAGGCTGCAATCTGTCGGACGTTCTTCAAGAGGCTCTGTACAGCAGCACTGTCACCACCGGCCTGTGGTGCTCCCCAAGTCAGCACCCGGCCATGTCGAGCAGCGCTGCAAAAGCAACATAATTTGCCTGGATTGCTTGCACGCCCTGCAGTGGTTCCACCGGTGTGGTAGCTCCAAAGGCCCTGTCACCTCCATAGCGCACATCACCCCAGGCCACAATGGAGCCACCTTCCGTGATAGCTGCAAAAGCTCTGTCGGTTGCTTGGATCTGCGACACACGTCTCAGTTGGCTTTGCACATGGATGCAGGTGCCGCCTGTTACTGGATTGCCCCAGGTCACAACAGAGCCGTCTGCCAAGATAGCAGCAAAAGCACCTTTGGTGGCTTGGATCTGCTGCGCGTCCACCAGCTGAGCACGCACGTCATTGCAGTTGCCACCCCCAAGATCACCACCCCAGTCACCACAGAGCCATCCTGCCGAACAGCTGCGAAGGCGGTTCCTGTGGCACTGATAGCCCTCACGTCATGTAGTTGGTCTTGAACTGCACTGCCTAGGATTGAGGGCGCAGGGTCCGGGGACCTCACACACTCCACACACCCCACACCCCAAAATGGGAGGGACCAAGTCCTGACCCCTAAATTTTGAAGAACCCTAAATCCCACTACCACACACATTGGGGGGTACCATGGGGGTGGGGGAGCAGCAACAGCCCATTCCTGCTAGGCTTAGGGCTTAAGACGTGGGATTCAGCTTTAAGGCTTCTTGTTTAGGATGCAGGGCTGAGGGTGTGCAGGGCTCCCTTCTTCGCCCTTTCCTCTCCCCCAACCCGCGTCATCTACCCGACGGCCCGATGCGCGCCCGTCGGGTACCCGACGCGAGCACCTCCCATCCCCCCCACACACACACATTGCTTCCCATCCTGGGTTTCCGCCCTCACAAAAATTTCTTGACATTTTTCAATGTCCCAGACAAGCCAGACACTTAATGTACCCCCTAACCCTATACAAGCCGGCCGTGAATCAAAGCGGGCAGAGGCCAAACCCTAACCCCTAAATCCAAACCCACCACTAACGAAATTTAAGGCATACACTTGCCCGGAACCCAACCTTGAACCAGAAGCTATGCTACGTTCTGGGTTTTGGTTGTCGGGGCTTGGGGTTTTGAGGCTTTGCGGTCTTTTAATGAAGGCCAAATCAAAATTGACATTCTCCGTCCAAACAAAGTTGTATTTGTGTCAAATGATAACAAAAAACCAACGAATCCAAATTGACAGAATTGTCTTACATACAATACAGTATTTTGGGAGGGGCGCCCCTGGGAAAACAGACACATATCCGTCGGGTACCCGACGCGTGCCGGGGGGAGAGGGGTGTACTCGACGGGTGTTCTGGGGGTGGGCAGGGGGCGATAATGTTTCAAGGCGCCCCTCTTAGGGCTATACCGCCCATAACCTTAACAACAACCCAAAGGCTACACAGCCCCTCGCGATGGCTATACTGAAGCTGAAGAAGGTCAGACTGAACCCCCATCCCCCAAACCCAGAAACCCACTGTGGCCCGGCATGAGGGACGCGGGCCACCACGGTGTTTTGGGTCATCAGGAGGGGATCAATACTCAGGTTTTGGAGCTTCAATGCAGGGGTAATCAGTGGGTTGAGTTTGTTTCTTGAGTGAAATCGAAAAAGATCTTGTTGGCAGCACTTGAAACAGTAAAGTTGAACGCAAGAGCTGAGTTTACCATTGAATTGAAAACAGAAAGCATGTTTTTGGCGCCACTTCAAATTAAGTTGGCTGAGTTTACGCAATTTCCAAAAACTTCTCACCCGATAAATTGCAAGACGTTCGCAACAAAAAATGAGAGTGAAAGAGTTCTTTAAAAACCAGAGACTTTGTCCTAGACTCTAGACTTGGGGGGGAGGGGCAAAGGTCACCGAAAATCCTAAACACTGTAAGCCGCCAACGCTCAACCCGAAACCCCTTAAAACACAAAACCCCGAAGCCCTAAACCTGAAACCGCAAACGCTCTAAGACCCTAAATTAAGCTCAAAGCCCCACCGCCAGACCACAGCAGGGGGGAGGGGAGGGGGATAGCACCCTAAATCCTCAGCCCAAACTCTTAAACCAGAATATCCTCGAACCCAAAGTGCTATTCAGGCCGCAAAGCCTTCGGCCCTAAAACCTCAATTGAACTCTAGACCCTAAAGCCCTGATTGAACCCTTAAACCCTAAACCCGAAATCCCACTGGCACACCACGGAGGAAAGGGAGCAGCAACAGCCCATTCCTATTGGGCTTAGCGTTTAGGAGTTGGGCTTCGGCGGTCTCCCTCCCCACATGCGTCGGATACCCGATGCGACCCGTCGCTCCCTCCCTCCTCCCCCCTCCCCCCTCACACACACTTCTTGGGTTTCCACCCTGAGGCCTTAAGTTAAGCCTAATTAAACCTGAACCCCAATCCCCGCCACCACACCACGGGGGTGGTAGGGACCAAACTCCTGACCCCTAAAATTTTGCAGGTCTAATCCTCAAGCCAAGCGCTTGTTAAACCCTATGCCCTGAAACTCCAAGTGAACTCTAGACCCCAAGCCCTGATTGAACCCTGAACCCCTAAACCCTACATCCCACTACCACACACAACGGGGCGGAGGGGGGGGAGCAGCAACAGCCATTCCTGTGAGGGTGTGCAGGGTTCCCTTCTTCGCCCTTTCCGCTCCCCCAACCCGCGTCAGCTACCCGACGGGCCCGATGTGCGCCCGTCGGGTACCCGACGCGGGCACCTCCCCTGCCCCCCACACACACATTGCTTCTTTTCAATGTCCCAGACAAGCCAGACACTTAATGTAATTACCCACTAACCCTAAATAAGCCGGCCATGAATCAAAGCGGGCAGAGGCCAAACCCTAACCCCTAAATCCAAACCCACCACTAACGAAATTTAAGGCATACACTTGCCCGGAACCCAACCTTGAACCAGAAGCTATGCTGTTTATATGTGGGTGATAAAATGTTCTGGGTTTTGGTTGTCGGGGCTTGGGGTTTGCAGGGTTTGCGGGCCGTTAATGAAAACCAAATCAAAATTGACATTCTCCGTCCGAACAAATCTGTATTTGTATCAAATGATAGCAAAAAAGGCCAACGAATCCAAATTGACAGAATTGTCTTACAAGAGGGGGCCCGTCGGAAAACAGACACATATCATATCCATCGGGTACCCGACGCGTGCCGGGGGGGGGAGGGGTGTACTCGAGGGGTGGTTTGGGTATCCTGGAACCCAAAGTGCTAATTTAGGCCGCAACGCCTTACGCCCTAAAGCCCCAATAGAACTCTAGACCCTAAGGCCCTGATTGAACCCTTGAACCCTGAACCCGAGATCCCACTAGCACATCG